ACATATCACATAATTGGTCCAAATTTTTTTCACAACACATTGAATACAATTTGCTATCTACAAATCTTCAATAAATTCATAAATCAACTTGATAACTATAAACTCCAAAACAATTATTACAACTTATATTGTAAAAATTTATATACTCATATATGATGCCAAATATATTGATAGTTTAAGAAAGAAACTGTACTGCCTTCTGGCATTAGATTTATTTACTTGACAAATTAAATACATGTGAGTATTTTTTGACATTTTCAAATGTCATCCTTAATCATATAGTCTTTTTTCGCTTGAAGATAACATTTTAAAATGTTGAAAGTACTTGCGTGTATTTAATTCATCAAGTATATAAGTCTAATGTCAAAAGACAGTACAATTTCTTCCTTATACATCTCATATGGAAACATGACTGAAATTTAAAGCTTTTTGAAGATTCAATTATTTCAAAGGATTTATGACCACCATCTCCTGACCTAAGTCCACTTCACTTTTTTCTGTAGGATGCCTTAAAAGAAAAGTATAACAAGCCATGCACTATACAGGAACTACTGTAGAAACAAACATTTAATGTAAATTTGTTGTAATGCAGCAGAGCCAAACAGGCTTAGTGGCATTTGTTTGCTGGACAGTGGTAGTAAACATTTCCATCACCTCCTGTAATATGAGCACTATAAACAATAACCAATTGAACGTTTTCTTCAGTTTTAACAATCTATTACTACTTAATTAAAGTAATATAGTCTTCAATAACAAAAATTTTTATTCCAAAATTCTTTAACAAAATAAACTTAGTGAGTTAAAATCACTAATGATATGCCTCTCGTTATTTCCAGATAAAGAGTGTCTTTTGTTGCTTAACAAGGTATGTTCTAAATCTAATGCATAGTCATTGAGAAATTTATATTTTTCAGAGTCCAGAACCAAAATATCTGGAAATAACAAGAGGCATATCATAATGATTTTAACTCACTAAGTTTATTTTGTTAACAAACATTGAAGATAATGGACATATCAGTCTAATTTATATTAATATATCAATTTATATTTGTTTAGCTGTACAGTACATCTAAACAAATATACTTATGCCAATATATTGGCGTAGGTATACATCTAAGCAAATATACAGTGAAATTCCATTAACCTGGCACCCAGCAAACCCGATAAGTCAGCATGTTGAGCTCATTGTTAGGGGTTATCAGTGCACTGGGTAGGACTGGAGTTAAGATTTTTGTGTAAAAGCACTCAAAACCAGGGATGGAGAGTTGAGTTGGGAGTTTAGCAGTTGAATCTTTTTATGGAAGTTGGGAGTCAGACTCTATTTTTAAAAAATACAGACTCAGGAGACGGGTATTTTTCTGCTGACTCCCTATCCATGTTCAAAACATGCAGGTAAGGAGTATGGTTGAGTGCTGTGTAAAATGGGATGAAAAAGTTATTTCACTTCATTGGATTTCAAACATTACTCTCTATGCAAATTAATAAGTCTCAATACTTATGACAAATCATTACAGATGATAAACGACATCTATGTGAAATCAAGTACTGAAATAGCTTTATTATAAATCAAGGATTCCTTACTTCAGAAAATTTTAGTTAAAAATTAAGAAAATACAGTATGAAAATATGCATGTAGTCAACATTGTATGCTAAAGAAACCTATACAAGAAGAAAAAACAAAGAATAATTGAAGCATTTGAATTGTGGGGATATAGAAAATGAGTTAGAGGAAAAGATAATAAATGATGATGTACTTAAAACCTGCACAAAATGTTTTCTTGAGAACAAATTTAGAAATCATTTCTCTTACTGAATCTTGAAGATATGTAGGGTTACTAGATTTCAATTGGAGTTCTGCTGGAGATCAATCAATCAATACTAATAATCTAGAATCTATTCTATTTATTACTGGTCAATAATTAGCAGTGTAGACTTCTACAAAACTGGTATTTGCATTTTGTAGTAGTCAATTCACTTCTATATATATATCCAATAGAGTTTGCATCCTGGGATGTCGTGTCTCAAAGTCCCGGGACTTTTTCTAAATTTAATTGTCTCGGGTCCCGGGACATTTGGGTCAAGACTCGAGATACGCTTATCAAAATTGTATTTTTGAAATTTTATTTTCAAAAGGTTAACCGAGCAATGCTTCTTTTGTTCTCCCTCCTGTTTACAAATAAGCAATGCTGGTGGGGGTAATTTACAAGGCTGTGTGACTTTTAACCTTACTCTGTTAAATGTTTGTTAAAATATTTGCACACTGGCCACCACAGCTCACAGTCGCAAAATACGGATTTTTTTTTACTTCAAATTTGAATAAAACTGCACTTATTGCTTTTGCAGAAGATCGGCATTACAGACTTTTTGAAAATATCCCTCGCATCCAAATGCCAGCTTTGGAAATAATGGACACCGAACCCAGTACCAGTAGCTCGACAGTACACAATGAACCCGATGAGTAGTTTCAAAGTCAAATGGAACAGGCAATCAAAAAAATTGAAGAAAACGTACTCGAAANATGTTTTTAAATGCCTATTTTATTAAATCAGAAAAGATGTCTAATTGCTAGTTCATTATATTATTTATATGACCAATGAATAGAAACTAGGTGATGATTAGTATGATTACTAAGTTGGTTTTATAATTTTAAGATTTTACTGCCAAAAAACGAATCTATGATTATAAGAATTAAACATACAAACTCTTTAGACTTTAATTAATGTTATAAATGTTAGGATTTGATTTTATGTTCAATAAATGTTGATTTTTACTAAAATTGCCTTTTTATTAACACATCTCGCCAAAACTGAACTCGATTCTAATTTTATTCCGAGAAGTCTTGAAGTCCCAGGATGTCCCGGGATTTTGATCGTGGGTTGTCTCCTGTCCCGGGACTTTGAGAATGTTGAGACTTCCCAAACTCTAATATCCAATGAAAGTGTTGCATACCACATCATCTATGTTTCAATAATCACTTGATGCATTTAAATTTAAAATACAACACCAAAACATGCAACAGATAACTAAAAACCAAATGTTTTCAGTCTATTATAGACAGTAGTAAAATACCTTGTAGAACAAGAAAACACTAGTAAATAATCACAAAAATAAGATGTACTATAAATATGACTATTTATAGACCATCATCAGGATACATTTCAATTTGGAAAAAACATTCCAAAATAATATTTGAAATAATTTTTCAAATATTATTTGGAATGTTTTTGTTTTGATATTGGATCAAATCCTGATAATAGTCTATAAATAGATTAAAAATACTTTATTTCTAGTAATCTGCTATTTGTTTTGGTACATCATCCTTTCCTCTATTTTCAGCCACATATTCATATCAGTTGACCAACAACACATTATATGGTTAACATATAGCTAACCATAAAAGCTGAAACTCTGGTAACCCCATGAGTAGTCTAAAAATGGCAGAGTGTTTTTTAAGTTTTTGCTCTAATAAAAATATTCTGTGTCAGATTACATGTTAGATTTTCCCTAATAAGCACGTCACTTAAAGCTGTTAGTGAAAAGAGAAATGTTTTAGAAAACAAGTGTTTTGCACAGAATTTATATAATCCAAAATACAACACCCTCGAGCGAGGCAAATTTTTTCAACGAACACAGGACATATAAAACAAGTTTTAAAACACCTTTCGCTCTTTTTTTCTAGAAAATTCTTTAATTAAATAAGAGAACTAATGCTTTCAGTTATTTTAAACAGCCTTCTTCAGGTTATACAACATTGGAACATCAGTTAAAAAAGATATGTTTTAACTGATGTTCCAATGTCGTATAACCCAAAAAAGGCCATTTAAAATAGCTGAAAGCATTAATTCTCTTATTTAATTAAACAATTTGATGGAAAAAAGAGTGAAAAATGTTTCAAAACTTATTTAAAGGAGTTCTAGCTTTCTGCGCATAGACATATAGAACATTGGAAAGCAAAAACCCAAACAAAAGACAGAGTTGTCGTCTTGCAACTTTATAAAGATATTTCAGTCGAGAAACGTTCCAAATTTAAAGAACACACTAAAAACCAAGATTTGAAATGACATTTCATGCCATAATCAACTATAGATAAAGAATCTTCAAATACCGGATTAATATAAAAATATAAAAAATAACCACTTAACAAAACCAATAACCGGTATTAAATAATTGTAAAATGAACTGCAAACGTTTTCGGTTCCTTCCCTAGGACCTTTCTCAAGCAACGATTCATCTTTAGAATATTGCGATAATTATAGCGATTCGTCTTTAGAATATTGCGATAATTATCACAATATTCTAAAGACGAATTTTTGCTTGAGAAAGGTCCTAGGGAAGGAACCGAAAACGTTTGCAGTTCATTTTACAATTATTTAATACCGGTTATTGGTTTTGTTAAGTGGTTATTTTTTATATGCCATAATCAATCAGAAAACTCAATCGTCGTCGAAAGATGCTATATTAAAACACACCGACGACATCAAATTATTGAATTTTAATAGAACAAGACCCAAGTTCTGTTTTTACTTTTAGTATTTATAAAAAGAATTGAACATAACTTTTCATCTCATTTATCATGCTGTATTTTGTACGAAATTTCAGAATTTAATCATTAACACAAATTACATGGTGAAAATGTACTGAAATTCGATAAAAACAGAATGAAATTTGAAGCCGTAAAATATTAAAAGGAATGAATATCGTGAAAAATGTCTATGGAATTAAGCATTAATGATAAAGTATGTTACACTAGTTTGGGTCAAAAGTGGTTGGTTACTCGATAGACATCGGACACGTATTAAAATGTCCATATATATGTTCATTTCGATTAATTAATCGGAAAAATTATTAATTATGTGTCAATATTAATGATTTATTTGTCAAAATTGAATTAAAAACCGATGAAACGGTATGAGTAATGAGTGATGATCAGATTATCTGCCAACAAAGAAACTAAGCAAAATACTGACAAAACTCGTAAAACACATGCTATATTGACTCACCTATTGTAATAATCGATATTTTAGCTCCTTACAATTCGTTTTTATTTATGATGAATGAAATAAAATAACCGTCTCGCCGGTGGTTAATTACCGGATTTACTCTCTCGTTCGCCTACCTTTTTTCAAGTAATACATTCTAATGCGCATGCGCGCTTACTAATTCCTTTCAATAAAGATGGTGGCTTACGTCTTAAGACACGTGTTAGGGAAGGGAAATGTTATCTGGAGTAAACAAATGATGAGGTATTTATTGGAATATGATATGGCGTCTTTAAGAAATTAATTAGATTTTCATTATCTTTTTTTTCTGAATTGTAACATTGTTTTAAAGTGAGTTATTTGAAAAATTAGAGTAATGAAAGTGTATATAAATGGTTTTTGATTTATCTTAATTTTTTTTCCCAGTGTTTTATCTGATTTTAACGTTTGATTTGCGTAATTTCAAATAATTACCAAATAAATTTTAGCTTATTATTGCTTAATTATTTATTTATATTTTACAAATTAAAATTATAATAATTACATTATTTAGGGATTGTAAGATGATACAAGTAAGTTTATATCTTTTAATCTGTGTTTAGAATATTTATCATATTTTCTTTATAAAACAGCTTAACTATAAAAACTATTGAATTTCAGGCCAACTTTATTTCCCATTAAATAATAATTATTTGCACAATGTTTAAACAAACACATATTTGCTAATTTCCTATTCTTTAAAATTGTTTTTCAATACTTAAAATCAGTATTTTTTCACAAGGAAAAGTTTTAGTTAGTTGACCTACAATATTAGCTAGTTGCTACGGGAAACTTGAATACAAATGTCAGTTAAAGATAACAAAATAATGTTCTTACTATAACTATAATAGTTAATAGCATACTAGTTTGTTGTCCAATTATTTAATAAAATTAAAATGAAAAGTATTTTTAACTGGTTGGTGAAAGTATTTAGCAGGTTGATTTGACACTAACATTGTAGGTCAACTACCTAAAACTTTTCCTGGGGGAAAAAATATTGATATTAAGTATTGATAAAACAGAAATGTTTAAATGTGTTTGTTTATGCACAGTATGTATATAATTTTAAACAATGTATACATAATTATTCAATGGAAAATAAGTTTGGCATAAAATTCAATATTTTTAAAAAGAAGTTTTAAATAATGGTTTGAAAATAGTTAAAATGTTTTTTAAAGAAAATGTGATAAATATCTAATCACAGATTAAAAGATAAAAATTAGCCTACTTGTATTGTTTTATAATCTAAATTAGTGCTATGCAAACTGTGATCTTAACAGTTTATTACTGTGCCATGATAAGATTTCACTTAAAATATAATTTTATGAATGCCTGTTATAATAATAAAACTATTTAAAAATATCTTTAAAAATCTTTTAAAAACATGTTATTAAATAACTTTCATTTGTTATTTAAACACTTAGTGCCAGGAGTAACCGGCAATCAAAATTGACTTGGGAAATTACTTGAAAGCGACTCACAAACCCATTTTTTAAAAAATTTATTAGGACCAAATTTTGTTATATTTTTATTATTAAAATTAATTTAGTCTGAAAATTAGGGGGAAAAAGCATTTGATCTCCATTTTTTTCCACTCTAAAATTATTTTTATTTAATTTCACAAAAATACTGGAATGAAAGAAAACTAGTCATAAGAAAAGAAACAAAAGAGGGATTGGAGAGAATTCCAATACAAATTCATTTAATCTCTTTGTAGACTGCATTTCGAAACCAAATTATGTCTTTCAAATCTAATGTTTACCTGAGTTTAAGAATTACTGAAAGATGATTTTATTTTCAGATATTTTATTTAAATGAATTTGGCTGCAGTTTAAAAGGTTTTTGAGTAGTATATTTTTGTTACGAAATGCAGTCTACAAAGAGATTAAATGAATTTGTATTGGAATTCTCTCCAATCCCTCTCCAGTAAAGGTACAATCCACAACAGAGTTTACACCAATGTTGTATTGTTTCTGGCAGAATGTTGCATTTTCTGCAAGAGTCATTTGTGAGCGATGTATCTTTCAAGATGTGTTTTCTGTAGTTTTTAGTGTTTATGACCTAATCTTGAATAGTAGCCATAAACCCCTCTGCCTCTCCAGGAAGCTTTTATTCAGCCAGTAACTTGATGTAATTTTCTCACTGTAGTCCTGAGCTAGGTCATAGGCATGCCTGACATGAAATGCATTTTGGACCCATGACTGTTTAGTGGTATCTATGTAATTTAGGTGTTGAGCTATGTTTAGGTGCTCAGAGTGTAAGTTTAAAAGTTTGTTGTTACTGTCTGCCAGAGTTATAGCATTATGTAATCTTGATTTTTTTTGTGGAAAAACTCCTGCTGTGTCAGGATTTGTTTTTAGTGCAGGTTAACTATATTAGGCTACGACTACCTTCTTTATGAGAAAGAGTTATTCTTTCTATGGATAATTTTGGATGATGTTGTTTATGCTTAGTAAGTGTTGTTCTTATTTTCCTCTGGAGTTGCTTGAGATTTGTGTGTATCCAAAAGAATAACTGAGTACAGGTAAAACATATATATTAATAGTTTTAATAGTATGTTTTGCATTTAGGTGTGTTCTTAGTACTGCATGTAATCTATGTAATGCATGTTGATATAATTAATCTGCAATTTGTTGTTGATATGTTCTAATGTTGTTTGTGTAATGTTATGTATAATTGTTCTTTTTTGATCAACAACCCATTGTACAGTGACTTTGAGATGAGGATTATATAATGTGAAAACAAATGATGTAACTGATGTCTGTTTTGAGTTTTGTAATGGTGTTGTAAGTACGGATGATAAACTCATTCATTTCTGATGCCCATTTTATTCGTTGGTGTGGTTTACCTGTCTTAGTGTTCTATGGCTGGACTGCCTTGGAAACATCAAAGTTAGGCAGGTTTCCAACAAATAGTGTGGGAAAAAAATTGGACTTGATAACCTCTGACTTTTTCTTAATTTTGAAAAAAATATTTATATACCTAAATTTTTTTAAAAATTAATCTTGTCAACTATAAATAAACAATTGTATCATGATGAAACTTATGAATCATACATTGAAAAAGTATTTAAAACAAAAATTTTTTATACCAAGAACATTGAATTATAATTACTTTATTATAACCAAAACATAAAATTATGAATTTAATTATGAACCAGTGTTGAATGACTTTTAATCATCCTATTGGAAATCACTATGCACTTTAAAATTTTGAACATTATATTTTACAGTTGTAAAATGTCATTAATTAACAGGTAGTTCACCAATGTAGGATATGGATATTACAATGTGCATTAACTATTGATTTCTATTTATTAATGTTAAATATACTGGAAGAGAAGATTGGACTGGAGGTCTAGGTAGCGTAATTGACAATGCATTTGCACAGCAAGTGGCAGTTGCATGTTTTAGTCTTGCTCCTGGCCTATTCTTTTTTTCCAGTTTAATCTAAAATTATTTAATTAAATTATCTATATATATAAAAATGAATGTATGCCTGTCTGTCCTTCATGCATTACCACACTGTTTATCCAATTGCCATGAAACTTTGGGAAGTTGTTTAATATACTCCCGCGAAGGTTTCTGGCATAGTACGATTGCCATGAAGCTTTGGGAAGTTTTTTAATACACTCCCGTGAAGGTTTTTGGCATAGTACATTTATCCTACGATAGATGGCGCGCGTTTATACGAGCATTCGAGCACTGTGTGTTTGATCGATTTCAAATTGTGAAGACTGTTTCCCCCCTCCAAAAAATATCTGTGTATATGCATTTATTATTTAGGGATATTTGCCTATTTTACCGATCTAGGGATCCCCCTTTTCCAAATTTTAATATCAACTCAAAATAATTTAAAAAGACAAATTACAATAAAACGGTTTATTATCCAACTATGAGAAATTTCACAACACACCAAGGAAGAGAGGAAGGAGCAATTAAATAATCAAAATTATAAAGGATTAAAAAATATACATATAAAAATGGGGAATATCGCACTTCTAACAATCTCTGCGAGTATGTGGGCTAAATTTAAAGAAACTGTGCTTCTCACATGGACAACTGTATGTGGCCAACTCACGTGTCAGAAAACCTTCTGATTTATTTGTGTACGCACCAGACGGAAAAACAAAAAATATCGTGTATCCACAAAGCACTCCAATAAATAAATAAAATTGAAATGACACTTTGAGATGTTTTCCCAATGAAAATGAATAATAATAAGTTTCAATAAAAATGATAAAATGTAAACTTAATTTTATCATAACGAGTTTGCTTGAATTTCGTTTCTTCTGAGATCGCAGCAATGCGCGACAGGTAAGCTAGTAATTAATAAATTTATTATAAGATGGTACCTAATGCCTCCCTTTTGGGACAAATTTATTAGTAATTTATAATTATTATAGCTGTTATTTAGACTGATGTAATATGGCAGTTGTTGTTGATTTATTGTAATGTATTGGGTTTAGTATGGATGTTTATATTTCTATTGGCATTGTTGATCATTCAAAAATAGAATAATTGTAAATATAATCACTTCAATGTGGTTGCATGCAATATGGTTATTGCTACAGAGATTACTACTCTTAAAAGATATTTTTGTCAAAAACATATAACTTTAATTTCAATCTGTTCTTTAACAATCAGAGAATATTAAAATTCAATACTGTAAATTATAGCTTTGAAATATTTAAACTTTAGTCATTATTATAAATTTTGTTATTCATTGCAGTTCTTTATTAAATTATATTTACATACTTGATTATTTTCCAGAAAACCTTTCTTACCTTCAGTTCTTACATTCCTGAATAAAAATATGCGATATTATAGTTCTGCAACAGAAAGATTTGAAGAAGCAAAATTGAAACTGAAAACTTTAAGTAAAGAACCAAGTGATGATATAAAACTTAAACTGTATGCACTTTTCAAACAGGTATGTTAATTTAAAATTTATAATTATAATTTAATTTAATTAAGTTTGAGCTATATTAAAATTACTAGAAATTCCCCATCAACCATGACAGAATACTTCTTATGAGAAAGTAGAGATTGAAGAATTGAGAAGAGTAAAGGTTTCAACAAATTCAATAAATTACTTAATTTGTAGAAATGTTATCTGTTTGTTGAAACAGAGCAACAAAACAAAATTTCATCAGAAGTGGACAAAAAAGTAGGAGTTATAGAGAATTCACTTACACACACAAACAGATTTAGGCCTTTATATTAAAATAATAATAAAATCTTTCTTTATATACCACATTCTGAGAAAACATTCTATTGTCTTTTAAAAGATTCTTTTGTGGTCTTTCTTTAGTAATAGAACATCTTAATATTGTTTTGATGATTGACATTGTGATGCTGTTTCTGCAACCCTTGATATAACCATTTCTTAATGCCATATTGATAAAACAAAGCTGAACTGTGTATGTTAGTTAATTGAGTGATAACACTTTCTAAATAATGGGCTTGTTAGATCGTTACTTTCAATTGGATAATAGAACATCGTAGAAAGATTTTTTAAAATTTTTATAGAAATGATACAATGAGACTTTTTTTTTTTTTTAAATTTTAAATTTTAAATTTAATGACGTTTGTTTAAAATACAGTGGTGCTTCGTATAACGGACGCTGTGAACAACGGACTTTCTGTTTGACTGTTACGTGACACGAGCAACAGACTGACTGCGAACAACAGACTTTCCATTTGGCAGTTACGTGAGGCGAACAAGTGCGAATGATGTTTCCACTCTTTTGCCATTGCCAATGACAATCTGCTATTTTTATAATATACTAGCTTACCCGCCATGCATTGCTGCGATCTCAGAAGAAACGAAATTCAAGCAAACTCGTTATGATAAAATTAAATTTACATTTTATCATTTTTATTGAAACTTATTATTATATTATTATTATTATTATTAATTTTAATTGGGAAAATATTTCAAAGTGTCGTTTCAATTCTATTTATTTATTGGAGTGTTTGTGGATACACGATATTTTTTGTTTTTCCGTCTGGTGCGTACACGAATAAATCGGAAGGTTTTTCGATGCGTGAGCCGGCCACATACAGTTGTCCATGCGAGAAGCACGGATTCTCCAAATTTAGCCCACACACTCGCAGCGATTGTCAGAAGTGCGATATTCCCCATTTTTATATATATATTTAAATCCTTTATAATTTTAATTATTTAATTGCTCCTTCCTCTCTTCCTTGGCATGTTGTGAAATTTCTGATAGTTGGATAATAAACCGTTTTATTGTAATTTGTCTTTTTTAAATTATTTTGAGTCGATATTAAAATTTGGGAAAGGGGGATCCTAGATCGGTAAAATAGGCAAATTTCCTCCTACAACTTCGGTTGTTGTTCGGGGTACAGTTAAGGTTTTAACAAAGTTCGAGCAAATACATAATTAGCAAAAAATAGTTGAAATAAACTGATTAAACAAAAATTATTACAAATATCGTAAATAACAGTTCACAAATGCATATATAGAGATATTTTTTGAAGGGGGAGAAATGGTCTTCACAATTTGAAATCGATTTAACACACAGTGCTTGAATGCTCGTGTAAACGTGCGCCATCTATCGTAGGATAAATGTACTTCATGGGAGTGTATTAAAAAACTTTCCAAAAGTTTCATGGCAATTGTACTATGCCACAAACCTTTGCCGGAATATATTAAACAACTTCCCAAAGTTTCACGGCAATCGGATAAACAGTGTGGTAATGCATGAAGGACAGACAGACACACCACACACATACATTCATTTTTATATATATAGATTAGTATTATTAGAATATATTATTAGTATAGCTGAAGTACAGAGCTCCTGTTGGAATTCGGCTTGCTCCCTTGTTTATTACATACATCACCTCAGTGCAGGGTATTTACATTTATTCAAGTATTGTGCAAATTATGGCTTGTAAAAAACAGAAAGGTGATTTCAATTGAAACAAAGCAAGAAATCATCAGGAGTGAAAGTTGACAAAAACTTCCTTGTCGAATGGGGAGAGGTTCGGGAGTTTACCAACACTCATTATCCAAACAGAGCTGAGGCCAACAGGATCAATGATCTCTACAATGACACCCTTGCCCGTCATTTCTGACAGGTGTTGAAGAAGAGAGAGAAACAGACCACTTTGGACATGTTTTTCAAGAAGCCAGCAGGCAAAAAACAAAGGATGGAACAAGAGGAGTTGGCCTTGCAAGCTCCGGTAGCCTCTCCTGAATCTGACTCCAATTAAAAACAATAAAAAGAGACCTGCTGCAATGTGTAAAAAGTCTGTATCTGTATGAATGTGTGAAGAAAGTGTACCTCCACCTCTTCCTCACAACATCTGACTACCTGGCATAATTGGTGACTGCTCCATTTTCATTTTTTTTTTAATGGTATGGTTATTTTATGCTGCGGAATGAATTATATGTTTTAACATGTATTTCTATGGGAAAATGCATTTCATAGAACGGACTTTTCACTTAACGGACGTGCACCTGGAATGGATTAAGTACATTATACAAGGCACCACTGTATGCCATTTACCAAAAAACATTTTAAAATGTAACTAAGGGAAATTCCTTTGTCAAGCATGAATGCCGTGTTGTCACTGACGTTACTGCAACATAAGTGTGATCAAAGATCCAAAATCAATAAAATGTTTATTCTGTAGCTAATATTTCTGCAAAATAAGTATCCTATACATTCCATCAGAACATAAAACGAATATAACTAAAATTTTGTATGGATTGGACAAAAATTGCAGGATTTATAAGGAATTCATACACACACAGATAATGGCTTTTATATTAGTTACGATTTTAGAGTAAATCTCATTATTTGAATAATACATTATAAATAATAAACAAAATTAAAATTGAATAATAAATTTAGAAACCCAATATTTAGTTAATGCCAAATGAATAATTAACCCATTCCAAGCAGATTCTCTTCTTCTAAAACATTTTACATTAAAATTAATTTGTTCAAAATTGTTAAAATTATCATAAGATGCAGGTTAATCTCCTTGCAAATTACTTTATACATAATTATTGAAACTAATTTTGTTTAAGTTAATTGAAGACACACTGTCCAAAAAAATATATAAAAATATAAAAAAACTTTTTTGGTAGACACCATTTATTCACTTCGTGTTTCAGAACAAAAACTTTTTGACGACCTGACCTTCTTTTTTAGGCTACTTGGCCGTCAAGTTTACAAACATTCCTTTAAAAACACAGGAAAACATATAATTAAAATTAAAAATTTTAACTTATAGTTCATGGGTCTTACAGCCATCTTCATGATTTCCATCCTTTCCATTGGGGATTTTCGGCCTTTATATCTACTGAAGAAATGCGCTGGTATATGTAGATTACTATGACTTCCTGTGTCTTCAATTAACTTAAACAAAATTAATATCATCCGACGAAATTCCAAGAAACTAATTTTATTATAGCCCAATAATTTGGCAGTTCAGTTAGCATTATAATTAAAATTAGAAAATTATTTTATTTTTCCAATATTAATTTTTTTTTTGTTACTAATAAGGTACAACAGTTTACAACATTTCTGAAACTTTTTTAATAACCTGTTCCCTAGCATCTTTTACAGCACCTTTCACAACATCATTATTATTAAAACATTGACCCTTTAATAGTGTCATCATTATCATTGAGGTAAGATAAAAATTGCAAGGTACAAAATGAGTGTGTGTAGAAATAATATTGTCCATTTTAGCTGGATAATTTTGAACAAGATATGAATGGTGTACAGAGCATTGTTGTGAAGGAGTACAACATAAGATACTGGAGCAGAGAAATATTGTCATTTTTGCATCTGTTCAAGAAGGCACTGTTTTATATAGAACAATGTCCAGATTATTAAGCATGTTAGGAATCTTAATTTGGCAGTTATAGGAAAATTTATTGGAGATTTATAAGTAACTGAAGAGACTGTATTAACAAAATAATGCACTTCGTGTTTGTTACAAAGTTATGTCTGTGGAAATATAGACTTCCTAACACAGTTAACAAGATAATTAAACCTGACTGGGGTATAAGCTGCCACACTCAGTGCAGTAGAAATAATTTGCAGCTCTTTGTTTATTAAAGCTTGGGTGATGGAACTAAGAATGCTTATCAAATGAGAGCCAAAATAGCAGAATTTACAAAGGATGGAGGTTAGAAGGCAATGGAAGGAACAATTTGAGGTAACATACCAGCCTTGTGATAGACAGAAAACATAAGCTCAGAACACAATTTGTGTTTCTTAGTCAAGTTCCTTTATACATTTAAAAAGTCTGTTTTACATTTTGCTCTATTCTAAAATTTAAAAATTACATTCAAGTTTTGCCTGATGACAATGACTAAGTCATTGAAAGTACTAGCAGTTTTATTAAAAGTATGTGAACTATAATGCCATGAGACTGTATTTGCTGCCTCAATATGCAAATCCAGTAAAAAATTCCAGGGCAATAGCACAATTTTAAAAACATGTTATTTTGAAGACATTTATTATTTATTCTATTTTATTGAAGAATTATCTTGTCACATTTCTCTAATAAGTTTCTCTTGGCATTCTTCCTTAAGGATTTTCATATATTTAAACTGATTGCTATCTTACAGGAGACTTAAAGTTGAGTTCAGGAATCAAGGTTAGATAGCTATTCAAATTTTTTTAAGTTAAGTATATATATTTGCTATAGAGTTTTTATCAAGAACTAGTTAGTCCAACAGTTCAATTAATGTTAACTCACTTAAAATTAAAATTTTTAAAAAGCAGACAAATTTATAAAACAAAAATTAATGAAGTTACTAAAAACATTTAAATAAATTTACATTTGATTATCTTTTGTGCAAAACAATACTAAATCAATTTCTATAGTTATGTCATAAAAGAAAAAAAAGTTGCAATTAATTTAAAAAATTGTAATTAACCCTTTCCATGAATTCATACCAAGTTCATAGAGGAAGTTAATGGGTGGTCTTTTTTAGGAACGAATTGTAGACCCGACAGGCAACCCCAGTCTGACCTAATTACATGCTACTTCATTATAAAGTTCTGGTTTCAGTTTCAGTGGTATTGAAGATTTTGCTTTTAATATATATACAGATTATGGAATTTGTATTTTTTTTTTATGTTTAAACAATTACTCATAGTTTTTCCCATACAATCACAAATATTTTTTTTTTTTTTTTTAAACTTATTTTCTTATGGTTATTTCTGTATTGTATTTTTATGATGAAATTTTGTTAAAAACTTTTTACACCTATGTAAAAGAAGTTTAATATTTTGTGCTGTTTTTAATATTGAAATTACTTTTTTGTCTATTTGAAATCAAAAGATGATCTTTAAAAAATGTGAAAAGTACTTGTTAAATTAAAACTTGATGCTGGTTAATAAAAGTTTTTATTATTTGTTATTGTGTAAAAATTAACATTATTATAAATACTAATATTTAGTTAAATATTACAGTCAACAGTTGGACCTTGTAGGACAAATCGTCCTTCTGTATTGGATTTTGTGGGAAGAGCTAAGTGGGATGCTTGGAATTCTCTGGGTTCTATGAATCAGGTATTGGTGAAATATTCTATTTGATACTCATTGACAAAAAATTACACACCAAGAAGTCATTGGAATTGAATAAACCACTGGTCCATGAAGAAATTTTATCAGTTTGCAGAGGAATATTTGATTGTACTAGAACACCTGACTACGGATGACATTTAAATAGTAATATAAATTACTGTATGTACTGGATTACATAATAAGCATAATCCATAGACATATGTAATTCTAGATAAGCATAATTTATAGACACATATCATTACTGGTTCATAAAAAATTATCTGTAATTTTTGTCAGTCCATGATTGAAAAACATTTGTTGTAGATGGTATGCTGCCAGTCTGTAGCAGTCAATGCTTCTCAGTCATGATACCAATGCAAAGAAAACAATGTTAGGGTGCTAAAAGCAAAATGCTTAGTGGTGATTATACATGTAAATTTGCCATTATTAGTTATCTGCATCAGACAATCATCTCTTCTGATAATTTGCCTTATTCTCCAGATCCTAACTGCTGTATATGTGTGTCCTGATATAGTTACATCCTCCAACACAACCTTGGTTAGGTCAAAATGGCAGGCAGTATGTGAAATGGCCATCCTCTTCCCTTGACTGAATGATGTGGCCTTTTTCAAACTTCATCAGCTATGCATAATATCTTTGACTGTGTCATACAGGCAAAGATGTTGTCATTCAAAGACTTCCAAACAACAAACACTAAAAATTCTGAAGACATCGAGCTTACACATCTTATGTGGTTTTTAGGCACTGGTGGTATTATATGGTATGCAATCAGATCACAACTATAATCATTTACCTGCTTGTCTGAGATAGCTGTTTGCTGAGTTTTGCAGTAATTGAATCAATTCTTTATGGGTACATAATTTTTTGTCAATGAATATATGTATTGTATTTTTAATTTACTTATTCAAATGTTATTTTAACTGTAAATTTAACTTAATTATAAAAATATTTATTACTTTATATCCTTTATATGGTATAGTTCAGCGTTGAAATATAAATAAATAAGAATTTGAGAATAGAAGATAAAAAATTTTTTATTTGAAAGATTTTTCTTATTTTTATAATTCATTGTGTTTGAAACTTCCAAATATGTATCAAGTAATTTAAAGAAATTATTCAAAACTTTCAGAAAACATAGACTAAAAATGTAACAAAATTGATATAATTATTTTTATTAATATTTTTCTTAATATAAAACTAATATCAGCAAAATTTGCCAGATGCAATCTTACTTTTTTAACCATCAAAAAAGGGTTTGTTTGTAGCAGATCTGTGAATTAAAATTGTCTTCTGAGTGGTTCTTGACTTCTGGTGAGTGTAAATTGAAAGGACATAATAAATTTGTTTATTTGTCTACAAACAAACCCCTTTTTGGTGGTTACAAAAATAAAATACAGTGGGTGATTGGTTAACGAACATAATCCATTCCAAGACTTTGTTTGCTATCTGAATTGTTCGTTAACCAATTATCAATTTACCATAGGTTTTTATGGAAATTTGATTAATTCGTTCTGAAGACCCCAAAAAATAAAAAATATATTCTTTTTTACTATGTTTATTTATGTGTAATAATAAAAATACATATATACACAGTCTTGCATTTTTATTAATCATGTTATTTCCATTCGTGGGGTTAAAGAATCTGTCTAATGTCGATTGCTTTTCTCTTTTCTTTAGGATTTTTCAGAAGTAATTAATAGCATTGTAATTGTAGAGATTCCTAAGCCTATTAACCTCAACCTGGTTTGGATGCCATTCTAAGACTGTTGTTCTGACGTCCTTCCACTTCTTCAAAAGATGTTTAATAGCAGATATTGGCATTAATCCTCTTTTTTCAGAAGAAAACATCACACCGAATTTCTTGGTGTTATTCATTCAAGAGTTCTTGGTGTTCTTCAGTCATCAGATCCATTTCAGGTTCTGTTATGAGCTCTTCGATGTTCTTTACTTTTCAGATATGATTTTACATAATAAAATTAGTTATCACTTCACCCAACTTTATAGTTATTGTAAAATCACTTATGTGTTGTGGCATTACCATGGTGAATTATTAAAATGTAAATATAAAATGTTCATGAGCACTTTTGGTAACGTACAGTTACCATCTTCAGGTGAAATGAATACTACAGTTTTCTGTATCAGAGTTATAGCACTTCTTTAAAAGTGGTGCGGCTAAATGGAACTCCAATGTAAATTGAAATTTTCTTTCAGTTCGAAAATGTTTTGGAATGGAACGGAAAATTATAGAAAATTTGCAAACTATGGTTGCTATGCGACCATGTAGATCTAACAATCTAATTTGTGATGTTTAAATAAAGTAGTCCATGTTTAGTGATTTCCAGAGTTGTGGTATTACATGGTGAAAGCGTGAGAAATATATAGGTTTTCCCAAATAAAGAGTTCTTTATGATTATTGCATCTTTTCAATAGTTTTGTTTGGTTCCAAACCGGCCGGTAGTCTTGATCAAGGACTTTTCTCGCTAATTCCGTTGATGGCCGATTATTACGGATGCCATCCTGATGTTCTGAGATGCATGATGTTAGTGTTCTAGCAGTTGCTCCTATATAATAAGTGTCTTCTCCTGATCCATTATGTTGTAATGGAATAAGATAAACTCCCGATTTCTCTTTCATATCGATGGAGTCTCTGTCATTAGTAATCTTCTTAATGTTGGCTGCGTGGATAGCAGTAGCATGTAGCCATTTTTTCTAAACAAGTGTACAATTTTGAGTGATACAGGACTCAGAAATGGTAATGCGGAGTGTCCTTAGGTCTTCTTTGTTGGTAAGGAATGATTGAGGAAATAATTTATTTTGATTCCAATGAAACCGTGTTGTAATTTACTTTGCTTTATACGGACACAATAATGTGACTCCTTTCAAACAATTGGCAGATTGTTCATCTCTTTATTCAGTTGGATAAACCAACTGAATAAAGAGATGAACAATCTGCCAAGTGTTTGAAAGGAGTCACGTTATTGTGTCTGTATAAAGCAATATAATTTATTTTTAACTTGATTCCGAAGATAATAAAACTTTGCTTGAGAATAGCCCGCTTTTATCATTGCTTTTTTGATAAGTTGCATTTCCTGTTCTACAAATACTTTGCTAGAAGGAAGAAGGAACGCTCTTCTCATAAGGGAAGTGATGGCCAAGTTTAGATAGTGCATTGGTTGAAAGGCCATAGCAGGAATAATCTGTGGTATACTATTGTTTTTGTGATAAACAGAAAATTGAAGAGCAGGATAGCAGGATATGTATCTCTAGATCAAGGAATGACATTCTGGTATTGAACTCTTCTTCTAGCATAAAGTTGATGGATGCATACACTGAAGCCAACATTTTTATGAATAGCTTTAAGTATTCAGTGGAACCCTCCCACGCGATTAAAATGTCGTCAACATAACGTGAGTATGAGGTGGGGTATTGGATGGTTAGAGGGGCGTCAAATACTCTCTGTTCTATGTTGCACATGATTAGCTCTGCTAGGATGGGTGAAAGTGGAGATTCCATTGGTACCCCTTGTGTCTGTTTATATATGGTACCATTAAACTGAAAATAATTGTTCTCCGTTATAAGAAAGGGCTTCACATAAATGTATTACATGTGAGGCTGGGAAGCCAGAATTAAGTAGCAATGTATTAGTGAGCATGACAGCCTCAAAATAAGGTATGGATGGGAAGAGGGAAACGGCATCAACTTTAAATAAGTGGTATGCAGTAGTTGGAAGATCTCCTAGAGTAGAAGAAATAACAGTCTTGGCATGTATAGAGGCTGTGGTCGCCAAGTTAAAAGGAGATATTAAGGATGTAAGTAATTTAGCTGTGGTGGCTTCGAGATGGTATGTTGGATGAATGCATTTATTGACGAGCAGTCTTAAAGGCCAATTATGCTTGTGCGTTTTCACTTCAAAAAATAATCTGGGACAAACCATATTCTTTGGAGGTTGTAGAGGACCTGTCAAAGATGAAGTAATCCCTGGGAGAGCTATGATCTTGTGTGTTTTCCGTAAAACAGTGTTGGTTGGGTCCTGATTCAGAGGAATGGATTTAGATTGTATCAGGAAATCGTTAGCTCTTGAAATGAAATCATGATTTTTACACAACACAAATCTCTCTTCGTTATCAGCCACCAGTAGATTCAAGTTATTAGATATAAGAAATAATTTGATGGACCGAGTCAATTTCGTTCCCATGTTGTTGTTTTTTATGTGGCGTTGCATTGCTATATTGGTGATATCTGTTAATTCTAAGTCTGGTTGTAATTCCGGACTTGTAACACTTTTAATGGCTGCTATCATGGAAGGAATTAAATGTGCATAATCAAGCTTTGGGATTGGTATATGTTTTGGTCCCTGTGTTAACACTTGATGAATTTCTTCTGGAACCTTTACATTAGTATAATTATAATAAGGGATCTCTATTTTCCTAGCTTGTTTTTGGTGGGAATTTTCTACATCAACAATTAGGTAAAATAGCCTTTATAGCCAATAAAAAAGTAAGTGGATATAGAAGGAAACTCCACAAGAAAGTCCTATGGCTACAAGAAAATTTCCGGTTGAATTTTTGTCATTTTTTATCCACAATTTCATATTAAATCTGAAGAAGTTATAAAATATGCAGGATCTAAATCATAATATTTTAAACATAATTGTCTAAAATTTTGAAATGTATTTGCTAGTAATAATGTATATACTACTGATATAATTTTAAATAATCTTTAAATGTTTTACAACTGAACTTTTTCTAAATTAATTTTGCATGTTTATATTCATCCTCTGTGATATATTCTTTTCTCATTTTATTATAAAAGTATTTTTTTGGTGGTAAGCATGTTTCATATATGTTTTCATGTTTAAAATAAGAATATTGAAAAATTCTTTTATTTTTAATAATTCTTTATCTGGGTAATTTCAAAAAAATTGATTAAAAATGGGAAAATTATAATTCACTTTTTAAATTTTCAATTAAATTAAATAGAGAATA